ATTAAATGACAACTTATTTGCATTATGGGATGTTTTTTTTAATTGTTTACATTTTAAAACTTTTTATTTAAAAAACAAATGTTACAAATAGTGTTTGCTATATAGAATGCAATAGAAATATAGAAGCTCAATATCTCAAAATCATTCAGAATGCAGATAGTACTTTTTATAATCCAAGGTGACGACTAATTGAAGGAGCTGTCAATTCTAGTGGACATTATGAAGTGCACTCAGTCAATTCCATAATCCACAGCAATGAGGAGTCTACAACCCATGTATGACATATTAAAACATGAACTTATGTTTAAAATATGTTATTTATATGTCTTGTCTTATACAAGACTACAATATGTGAAAGCACTGGTTTGTGTAAAGTAAAATAATCTGGCGTTTTATGTTGCATCCCAACCTGTTAATAAGGTCAAAATTTATTTTGTTGGTCCATTTGTTGAATTTAAGTTACATTGCATCTACATGTCAACTAACTCTCATTAAATTTTAAATAGACTATTAGGTTGGGGTTAGGGTTGGGGTTAGTGTAAGTTGACATGTACTTGCAAAGTTTCTTATAGTTAGTTAAATGTCTGTTGAAGGAGCAGTATCAACAGATATTAAGTAAGAAAGTGTTACTGTTAATAATGTTTACATGTTAATAATTTTATTTATGGGGATGTTAACAAGATGTTATCTTTCCATCACATTCAAATAATTTAAAAACTATACTTAGTTTATTTACTTATTTTATTTATATACAAGCAAGGGAAATGTAGCTTAAATTAACCTTTATCTTTAAGATGCAGTGCGGTTATATGCGAATACAAAATTTTGTTTGAGAATAATGAAATTTGAATGTGACAGAAATGAGAATGTTAATTAGTACAAACATTTTATTAGGTTTAATATTTTATTTTTAAAATATAGTAGTACGCTCACTACACATATTTTTGAATATATTTTTATAAAACATTTTTTTTTGTAATTTTTAAAAAACATTTCTGGTGGGACAGTGGGTAGCGCTGTAACAGCAAAAAGGTTGCTGGTTCAAGCCTCAGCTGGGTCAGTTAGCATTTCTGTGTGGAGTTTGCATGTTCTCCCCATGTTGGTGTGGTTTCCTCCAGGTGCTTTAGTTTCCCCCACAAGTTCAAAGACACGTGGAACAGGTGAATTGGGTATGCTAAAATTGACCGTAGCCCAGGATTAATAAAGGGACTAAGCCGAAAACAAAATGAATGAATGAATGAATGATATTAATAATAATAATGATAATAATAATTATTATTATTATTATTATTTTAATTATTATTAGTAGTAGTAGTATTATATTTAAAATATTTCAGTGTTGAATGAGAGTGGCTATTTTGGGTACAGTAGTAGTCTATAAACACTACAACCTTAGCACGCATTCTAACTCATTGTTTTCATTTTTATTAGCATATAATTAAAATAATTTAATAATAATAACAATAATAATAATAATTAATAAGAATAATAATGATGATAATAATAATAATAACAATAACAAAAATAGCATGAATAATAATAATTAATTATTTCATAATTATAAAAATGCATGTAGGGATGCAATGATATAGCGTTAGATAGACTTTACGTATAAATCATGTGCTTCCACATATAGACATCTAAAAATTAAATATTTTATCATGATCATTACACATATGATTTTTAAAAGTTTCTTCAGGGAAATTGTTATCGCAAGAACTATTCAACAGCAATATTGCATATCACATATTTTCTCAGTAACGTGCAACCTTACCATGTACACTCAACCAATAGAAAATCCCCATAATGCACTGTGAGAGTTTGCAGACCAAACGAATTTCCGCGTCTGACCACAACATGACATCTAAAGAGCATTCAGTGCGTTTCAAAATAAAATAAATGAATTAAAATGACATTTGTATACATGAAATAAATCAAAAGTCTTTTTATCTATTACTAATAGATAACAGAGCTAAATGTTAAATCACAGGGTCTGACCAGGAAGTGTAAAATCGAATCCCTTTAAGGGATTTATCAACCCACAAAGCACAAACATTCTTTCCGGTGTACTGAAATTACTCACTCATTTCATTTACTCCTTTAAAGGGATTAATGTAGGGAATAGTGAATGAGCGTGGCTATTTTAAATACAGCAATAGTCTTTAAAACACACTGAAGAAGTGAAAACCTCAGCAGATCCTAGCAAACAAAACTGACCTTCAGCTGTCAATCAATTCGTTGGGAGGGGGGACCGCACTCCTATGTCAAGTTCCGGTCGGTCGAAAAAACGCTCTAATTGGTCCACCGTTTTTGTTGTTAATTTGAAAAAAAAGGACTGGATGTGTTTATATCACCACAATATGAAGGTAGATACATAATGTCTACACATATGTCTGTCCAAACAGCTTGAAAAGTAGATTTTTCAACATATGTGCTCTTTAAAGGTAATTTAAACCGCATATCTGCAACATTAATTTTAATATTATAGCAATAATGATCATTTTTATGCAGCCTTAATTCTACTGTATTTCTTCAGTCTGTCATCTATGAAAATGCAGAGACTGGGTTATAATAGTATAAATGTGTGTCTTGTGTTTCAAAGTGAAACATCTCTGCGATCTTCTGACTTCAAGAGTTTTTCAGTGTGTAGGAGGGACTCAAAGTAATTGATTTACACAAACTCCATCTCTGTTGTGAGTTTTTTATAATGTGTGCACACCATAAATTGCAATGAACATACATCTTTCCCATGCCTAAGTTTGTAATAGGAAGAGAGGCGCTTTTCAAAAGAAGAGTTTTCCTGTGGATTTCTACCAAAATAAAAGCCCTCTGGTTTAACATTTTTAATACATTTTGTAAACTTACTGCTGTAAATGTATTAGTTTAATTTAAATTGTAATAATATTTATTATTATTATTATTATTATTATTATTATTAATAATAATAATAACAACAATAGAATAAATGTATGACATTTATATATATATATATATATATATATATATATATATATATATATATATATATATATATATATATATATATATATATATATATATAATTTTATTATTCATAATAATAATGATAATAAAATGATAATAAAATAATAACAATAATAATAATTATTATTAATAATAATAGTAATTATTATTGTTATTTTTTATTATATATCTAAGAAATAGCTCACTTCTCAAAGGTAATATAAGTTTCTGTTTCATTCATTCATTATTTTTTTTCAGCTTAGTCCCTTTATTAATCCGAGGTCACCACAGCGGAATGAACCGCCAACTTATCCAGCACATGTTTTTTACGCAATGGATGCCCTTCCAGCTGCAACCCACTCATACCACACTCATACACTATGGACAATTTAACCTACCCAATTCACCTTTACTGCATGTCTTTGGACTGTGGGGAAACCGGAGCACCCGGAGGAAACCCACATGAACGCAGGGAGAGCATGCAAAGTCCACACTTTTTTATATTTATAATTATGAATGAATGAATAAATGAATGAAGGCGGTTCATTCTGCTGTGGCGACCACTAATTAATAAAAGGGCTAAGCCGAAAAAAAAAAAAAGTTAAGTTTTGTCTAGATAATAATATTCAAACAATAAGAAAGATCACTGGCCATTGGAAGGTGCCCTGATTACACATTTTAATGTAAAATATAAGAAGGAGACCACAGTGTTGGTGGGTTAATTTCAGATTAATTTCTGGTTTTATTAGCCATTCACTTACCCTCCGTGGTTCATTCTATCAAGACAAATCAAAACCTGTTGTGAAGAACAACACTAATAAAACTAATTCTATTTGCAATAAATAACAAATGACACAAATAGAGAAAACATGCAAATGTTAGATAATAAAAAAAGTGTACCAAGTTTGATGAAAGTTAAAAATAATACCACTCGGCTGACGGTTGGCACAATATAAAATATCAAATGATCATTAATACATTCAACCACTGTAGATATTGAGAGCTGCATGTCAATATTCAAAGCAGCGGTCAACCAGTGTGCATTTTATTAATGGCTAGTCTCAAAACATTTTGCTTTTCATTTTTTGTAAAAAAAATTTTAATTTGAAAAATGCCTAAAAAGGAGGCAGATTCAAAAAGATGAATCCTAAAAATAAGTGTTTGCATAGTATCAAATTCATTTAAATTTAAGCCTTTCTAACAATGACTTTAAATTAGTTTAATTACTAAACATTGTGTGTCATTTATCTGTTTACGCAATAACTTTCAGATGCTCTAAGGTTGTATGCACAAACTTTTAATTTTAAGTCAGTTTAATCGGGCCTTACAAATTACCACGTTTAAGGTCCGGTTTCTTTTTTAAAGTCTGCGATCTTCACAGCCTGGTAGATGAACGATATCAAGTGGGTCTTGGACTGGACAAGAAGCACTGCATTAAATGCAGTTTTCCATGCTGCGTCAGTAAAATGTGGACATTTATTTTACTCCAGTATTTTCTATAGAGTTTCTGCGCTAGCCTGCTGCAAATGGCGCTGCAAGCATTTACACTGTCTTTTATCTCATTTTACACTTGAACAGTTAAATGAATGGTAAAGTCTGTTTAACTGATTGCATTTTACTTACATTACAACATCAATGCTGTGAAATGAACCATATGAAATTAATAGGTCACATACACCTTTTACTGGACATTTATCATTGGCTGAATCTTTAAACAGATGTATTCATTGTTTTCTTTTTTAAATCTCGTTCAATCAAATGTAATACAGACATCACCTCTAACATCCTGTTAAACTGTTACTTGCTTCCATGTTAATATACAGTGATTTTGACAAAGTAGACTTGGTAATTTACCCATAAATACATCAATCAAACAATTAAATAAATAAACAAATAAATGATAGCACAGCATCTGAAGGCATAACAAAAAGTACAGTACACGAGTCTTGATGCAGCAGCAGTGATGTGGGTCTTAAGCGGCGTTTAGGTGGTTTGGAGGAGCAGCGGTTCGTCCATGTGGCTTTGAGCGAGACAGTTTTTCATGGGCTGACGAACCTGAGATTGACCAAAACTCAAGCATTCTCAGGTTGGACAGTCCTGGAAAGCACTGCTCATCCATCAGATTATGTACTCATGTGATGTTCGTCACCTAGTTAAAAAATAAATTAAATTATTCTAAGAGTGGCATTAAAAAAGTATATTCTCACACTATCAATTTCATACAATGTAAACGATGAGAGGAAAATAAATGCTTATTTTCAAATATTATTTTGTTAAATACAGGATAATGGATGTAAAATAGACAGGTAAAGAAAGACAGGTTTGTTAAAAGTTCCTACGTCATTGAACTTCATTCAATCTATATAAATTAGAGACTTTAATATAGAGACTATATAAATTCTATGCAAAATGTACTATGAACCCTTCAGGAATACTTTAAACACATATTATTTACAAAGATACTTTAAACTAATTTTAAGAATCTCATCAAATATATATATATATATATATATATATATATATATATATATATATATATATATATATATAAGCACTCTGTAATTCATAATTAGCCTCACATTGGGAATCTGTATTGTATGCCAAACTTTGGCGCCTTTTTGACTGGAGGTGACCATTCAAATGTTTGACATGCTCCATCCATAAAATCTATACAGTTACTTGTATCTAATCTGTTTGTTATTAAAAAAAATAAAAGTAAACTAAAAGTTATTATTGAGTATATAAAATCTAAAAATGCAGTATTTAAACTAACTAGTAGTACCCTTGTAAGTGTACTATTTCAATACTAAGGGATTAAATTGGCCCACTTTTCAGTTTATAGAACTATACCTTAAGTATAACTTAATAGTACACATTGAGACCACCCCAATCATTCATGTTGTCCTAACACAAATTGACTAAGTTAATTTAAAGTGGATTGAACATAAAACAGTTAAGTTGTCTGAGAAATTCCCAAGTATTGCATTGTTTCAGCGTGTTTTAAGTAGTTTGAGCAAGCCTCAAAATATTTTTTAAATGTATAGTTATACACGTTTTTTATAGCGCATATTTAGTTTATGAAAGCACACGTTAACATAATACTTCCGTTAAACTACTAGTTTGGTTTATTTTATACTGAAAATAGACATACTTACAGTACATTAGTCTATTGCATGTGTGCTGCCATTTACAATAGCTGTTTATTTCCAAACGTACATCTTTACTGTAGTATTTTAACAGCACTTTTAAATAGAAGTAAACAATTCACACGCAAAGTTAATAAGGTTCCTTTCTATGCATTATTCATGCACAAAGTTCTCTTTATAAACTTTAAAATGTACACACATATCTTGACACAAGTCATTTATGTTGTCCTAACACAAATCGGTTAAGTTAACTTAATCGTTTTTACAAATTCAAGTGGATTGAACACAAAAACTGTTAAGTTGCCCCCTCGAAAATACTGTGTTGATTCAGCTCATTTTAAACAAGTAGTTTGAACATGCAGCAAAAATAATTTTTGAATGTACATCCAAGTATGTGAAAATGCATTTAATATGAGCAATAATCTCAACAAGCAGCCAGTAATACTAAGAATACTTAACTATATGTTGAAATATCTCAAAAGTCTGATCACATGCATAGGCCAAACAGACCTTTCCGTCAAGTATATGGCAAATTTAACTTCAAGCATATGCTGAAAAGCAGACAAAAAGTGTACTTAACTTTAGTGTTAAAGAACTGCAATAATAGCACAATTGAACGTCTTTGTATCACAATCAAAGACCTTGGTGGCTCCTCGTGGCTTTACAGATCCCTCTGTCTTTCATGAAAACCTGACTATGCCCCCCCAAAAAATAAAAAAATAAATAATAATCATGCAAGGATGATGGTCAGATTTCACGTATTATTAACAAATTCACTATTCTACACCTCATCAGAAAAAAATTTAATAAAATAAACCTAAACATCTTATATTTTACCCCAGAAAAAAGTCACTGATTTGTGAAAGTAAAATGCCACTCCTGATGAGCTGGTAGATGCAGACCTGCAGAAGCACTCACCTTTGCTTTACTTACACACACACACAGGTTGATGTTCTGTCCTCCGTTCCACACCGACAGAAGAGAGATGTTCACAGAAGCAGCCGGACGCTGGCGTTGACTCCAGATCTGTGACGAAGGGCCGTGCGTGAGCTACTGGAGAGGTTGAGATCTGCCACACATCAGCGAAGCGCCTCCTTCCTGTTTGTCACGATGAACAAGCCTGTGGTAAATTTTCCATGACATGTCAATATTGAGGGCCACTCGTGCACATTTCATTCATCTCTGCCGCTGCTTTTCAAACGTCTGATGACGCGGTGAAGAAGACTAAGAGTATATATTTGGATTAAGTTATGATTTTGAGTCATATTAACTAAAAGAGCTGCATTAGACACTTTAATGTATTGAAATTAGAGGTAAATGTGTTGAGGAAAAAGATCTTTTGTGAATGTGCATAGTGATGCAAAGGTCAGCTGGGTTTGTAGTTGTAAGGGTTAGTCTGTTGGTTGATTAGTTAGTTAATAAGGCTGATCTCAGAGTGGAGTTAATTTTGGAAACTGATGAAAGATTGCTAGGTTAGTTTCCATATTGAGAGGACAACCACAGCATCCTTCCTGTGCATTTGAGACATGAATGAGCTTCAATCCCGCCGTCACTACAACAGAAATGAGAACAATACTGTGCAGGAATGTGACAGAATATTTATTTTTAAAAGAGTCAAAGTTTAATTCTCTCTCTCTCTCTCTCTCTTTATATATATATATATATATATATACACACACACACACACACACATACAGACACACACACACACATACACACACACACACATATATATATATAATTAATGTATGTAGAGCTCAGCCTAAATAAGTACATCTCATTTTGAAAATAAAGATTTGTATCTATTTTTCAGTGAATAAAGCAATACTAGTTTGATGGATTTGAACAAAACAGATTTTTTAAAATGAATATATTTCTAAAAATATTACTTAAGTCAGTAAATTTCATTAAAAATAGAAAATATTATACATTTAAACTCAAGTAGATAATTTTTTTCCCCCCTAATTCCCACAACTTTGTGTGTTGTTGTTTTTAGACCGTTATTGCAAGTTAGCAAGGTGCAAACATTTAGGGCCCTATCATACACCCGGCACAATAAGATGCAAGACGTTTGGCACAGTTTGTTGCTATTTTCAGACCAGCGCATCTATAATTTGAACGTTTTTTGCCACGTTTTTCAAATAGCAAATCAATTTGCTCCACAGTGGACTCATGGGTGTGCTGTTCTAAAAAAAAAAGTGTGTTAAAGTGCATTGTTGGCACGTTGATGATTTTCATTCATTCATTTTTTTTTGGCCTAGTCCCTTTATTAATCAGGGGTCGCCACAGAGGAATGAACCGCCAACTTATCCAGCATATGTTTAACGCAGCGGAGGCCCATCCAGCTGCGACCCGTCACTGGGAAACATCCATATAAACTCAGTCACACTCGTACACTACAGACAATTTTGTTTATTCAATTCACCTTTATCGCATGTATTTGGACTGTGGGGGAAACCGGAGCGCCCAGAGGAAAACCCAAACGAAAACGGGAAGAACATGCAAACTCCACACAGAAATGCCAACAGACCCAGCCAAGGCTTGAACCAGTGATCTTCTTGCTTTGAGGCGACATCGCTACCTGCTGTGCCACCCCACCACCCCCACTTTACTATTTTGAGAAGCTGAAATAGACCGCACCATTGACAATCCAAAAGTACGTCTATAGTCCAGCGTAGAGTGCGCGTTAATTGTGCACCTATGCAGGTCTAAATACTTACACATTGCTTAATATCTTTAATTATGAAAAAAAGGATTAAAATGTTACCAAAAAACTTATTTTCTACAAAAATATATAAACCACTGACTGTTCAGTTTTCCTACTTACAAAGTCCGCCCTGCTAAATTCTAAATTCTTATTGACTGTTGTAATTTTTCTGTCTTATCTCCCAGCTTTCAGTATTTATTTTCAGCTCTAGATTCACCTAAAAGCACCTGTTGGAGAAATGGGGATAAAGATAGGAAAGGCCCTATCTGATTTGTTGGTCAGATTTGAAAAAAACAAGCTATGCAGCACTCAAATGCTTGGCATGTAAAACTAATTTAATTGAAATGCATCTCTCTGTGATATGGATATTACATATAGTATTATCGCAATAATTTATATATATATATATATATATATATATATATATATATATATATATATATATATATATTCTGCAGCCCTAATGTACACACATGCGCACGCGCGCACACACACGATTGGCTACATATATATATATTATGGGTTGTTTTTTATAAGTTGTTTCCTTTTTATTTAAAAAAAACAAATGTTACACACATACTGTTTGCTTTATGGAATGCAAAAACTTTGAAACTCTATATCTCAAAATCAGTTAGAATGCAGATAGAAACATAATTCCAAGGTGTCGATATATATATATATATATATATATATATATATATATATATATATATATATATATATATATATATATATATAAATAAATATATATATCATCATTATGATAAATAAAACTTTAACAAATCGATTAGGATACTGACATGAAGAACATACCATTGACATGTAAAAACAAATAACTTGACCATACAAGACTATTAATAAAAATAGTATAAAATGTTATAATTTGCGTTTCTAATTTAGTCGGTTGTAATACATCACTAAAACCTGAAAAACCGAATAGCTTTTTTTTATTGTACCACTTACGTTTTGATTTAGATTGTACCACTTTTACTGCATATTTTTTTAATTAATTATTTACGTAAGTTTTTTATTTATTTTACACATTTTGCAGTATATTTTGTGGGTTGTGGTGTGATGATGGCGAAGGCTTGTTGCGTACAAAAGTGATGGGCCGGGGGGTGTGGAGGTGTAAGAGTAGGTGCTGTATCAGATTTCAGAGGTTTCGGATCAGGTGTGTTTTCCAGCACAAATTAAGCCCTGACTGTAGTATTTACTACAAATGACTTTAGTATTTTTTCAAGAGGGCACACTGGGTAAAATCAACACAAGAGAAAGAAAAATCTAGTGGTTATTCGGCTTCATCATGTAAACGCACTCATTATGATCAAATAAACATCCATAAACGTATGATTTTTATTCCCGTTGTTCAACAAAACATCACAGTGGATACATTCAATAGGCCTTGCCGAGCATTAAAAAAACATGCCATTTTCATAGTTTACAAATATACACACATTTCAAATCAGCGTCATTCAAACAAACAACACATACACATCAAGTTTCACAGCGATGAATTAATCAGTCAGAGTGCTCAGCGGGGTAAAAATAATAAAACCGAGACACTGACAATACACTAAGAGGTTTCGGGGGGCTGAACTTCAGGCCAAACACCAGCGCTTCCTGTGGGCTAGTTTTGATCTAGTGACGTTTTGTATGAACATTGAGATGACAGAGCCATATATGGTAAAGCCAGCTATGAACTCAATGGCCAGATAAAAATATAACTGTCTTTGTGGCTTCAACAAAAGCAGGTCGGTCAATCTTACAGAATGTGCTTTTCTTTTAAATGGAGTTGTGATCATTTCCGCGTTTGACAGAAAGCTGTTGACTCAAGCTTATATGTTTGATTTATTAATCAATGAAGAAAAGCTCAATATTTGAGGGTTTTATAGCGCAGTCATTGCATAGAGTGGTGGTACTGTGTTGTGAAAGTGTATTTGTGAGCAGTCTGTGGTTTGGTCAGCATTCGTCTGCAGGTAAAGCGAGAAAGCAAAAGATTAAAACAAAAGCAACGCCCACGTGTTTTTTCCGACGAAGTGGTCCTTCAAAGAATTTTCACGGTCTAAGTGTAGCACAGCAGCACTTTGAGGCTTATTTTACCCTCTGAAAAGCTCTGCTGCATGAAACTGAGTAGAGAAAATAATGAAAGCAACAAGCATGTTGTGTTCATATGGCTAAAGTACTACAACCGTAGCAAAAAACACGTAAGGCAATGATGCAACTGCATGTGCTTCAGTTGTACATGTTAAATATAGCATTAAATAAGCGTTCATAAATAAAAAGGTCACAAATAAAAACACTCTTTTTTTCCATTTGGGAAGTGCAAAAAATGTATAAAAATATTGTTTTTGGATAAAATGTACAAATGTTAGTCTCTCAGCAGCTCGGCTCGTCCATGTCATCATCGCTCCAGTCTGTAGGAGCGTCCGTGCCAAAGTAACGGTCGCCAAAATTTCCTGAAAACCAACAACAACAAAATATGCACATTTAACCTACAACGAATCAATCAAAGACAATCATAAAGAAACTGGATACATTTGTAGAACTATTAAGATTTTTAATAGACACATGACCACTACACAGCAATAATAATGATAATATTAATAATAATAAAAGACAAATAACAATAATAATAATAGAGCTATTTAAGTGAGTTTTTAATCTGAATAATCTGTTTCAAAGCAAAACTCACTTAAATTTAAATGATTATTTCTGAAAATAATAATTTTTTTTTACTAGTCACAGTAGTCACATTAGTGCATATAAGTTTTAGAGTGAAAAATATAAAAATAACTTTACAAAAATAATATTAAATATATAATTAATTCAAATAATCAGACAGATGGTTGCATCCTAGTGACTCAAATTGGTAGTGTGTGTGCGTGCGTTGCTTTCATGCTGTAAAGTCAAAATGTAAATTCTATTTATTTTTCCACACTTTAACATATGAAATAGTGTTTAAACATAGTGACTATTACACATTTTAATCATGATTTACAAAAGACACTCACTAAAAGTCAGTGTAACAATTCATATATATAGTAAAATCAGGGAAAAATAAATTGATGACATACAACATTAAAATATTTCCAATGTTCCCCAAAATGTTCATTCTTTGTTACTATTTCATTCTATAAAACTTTACAATTGGCCTCGATTTTACCCAGTTCATGTCAGTCAGAAATAAATTATTAATCTTTGTTTCATTAATTTTAATACATGCATAAAACTGTATGTGCTACACTGAATGATGGTAAAACATTATTTGACCTATTTAGAAATGTAATTTTTACAAAAGGTAAAATTAAAAATTTGGTATAAAAAAAGTTGACAGAAAGACCTAATTTAGATTATAAAATAAATAATATATTATTTTTATCAATAAATAAATAAATAAATACAATAATAAGCTAAATGTTTATATGTAATAGGCATATAATTTACATTATATAAATAATTATATATTATAATATATATATATATATATAAGACAATAAGACCTTGTACTATATTACATTTACCAAAAAAAAAAAAAAAAAAACTTTGGTTAAGGTATTTAAATGGTTCATGATAAAAACTGGTCAAAAGCTTAGAATATATAAAAGTCTGTATGTGTGTGTGTGTGTGTGTGTCTGTGTATGTATGTGTGCATACACAGTTGAAATCAGAATTATTAAACCCCCTTTTGTCATTTTTTCTTTTTTAAATATTTCTTAAATGATGTTTAAAAGAGCAAGGAAATGTTCACAATATGTCTGATAATAGATTTTTTTTCTTTTGGAGAAAGTCTTATTTTGTTTATTTCTGCTAAAATAAAAGCCCATTTAAGATATATATATTTATATATATATATATATATATATATATATATATATATATATATATTTAGATATATATATTTAAGCTGTATAGGCGTGTCTAGTAAACTATTATTTACTGTCATCATGGCGAAGATAAAATAAATCAGTTATTAGAAAAGAGTTATTGAAACTTTTGTGTTTAGAAATGTGTTAAAAATCTTAACATTAAATAGAAATTGGGGAAAAATATGCAGAGGGGCTAATAGTTGGGGGGCTGTACACCTAAATACACTCTCACACACACACACACACACACACACACACACACACACACACACACACACACACACACACACACACACACACACACACACACGACATCACGTTGGTAAAAACCTTAAAACTCAAAGTTTCTTAAAACTTTGCTACAATAATGAGCTAAATAGAACAGCATTTCTAGTAATGTCGTTAGAAATATGAGTCAGGCATGCTCTTGGCTTGTGTAGGACAGAGGGTAAATGCAATGAGGGTGGTGTTCAGTCTCACCTATGCCGGGGATGATGTGGAAGAGGTCATTGACCTTCTTGTCGACGGCGGTGGTGATGATTTTGACCTGAGGGAAAGCGTAGGCCACTGAATGAACACCCATCTCGGCCATCAGCAGAGACACCAACAGGATCTTTTCCTCCTGAACATCATGATCCTGTGCACACACACACACACACACACACACACACACACACACACACACACACACACACACACACACACTGTGAATCATTGGTACTTTTTATATGCTTTTGTTGTTATTATACAAATTATATGAATTTTTTTCTATCAACCCAAAACCTAATCCTTTACCTACTCTTTACTGAAAATATGTATGCATCTGTACACTTTCATACATATATAATACAAATTATTTTAAATGTACATTTTTTGTATATTTCATAATTCATGTACAATATGTGTATTTATAATTGTATAAATATACACAGTAGACATGGGCTGCGTCCGAAACAGCATACTTCCATACTATATAGTACGCTAAAATCAGTATGCGAGTTGAGTAGTATGTCCGAATTCATAGAATTCGAAAATCAGTATGCGAGAAGTACCCGGATGACTTACTACTTCCGGCGAGATTCTGGAGTGCGCATCCCATGCACGCTGCGCTATCCCATAATGCCCCGCAAGAGAATTCATGAATGGAAGAGAAGCGACACAACTGACGAGTACGTCCGAATTCCATTCATACTTTTCACATTCATACTGTATAGAACGTACTTTTTTAACGGCTTAAAGTACGTCTAAATTCAAATGCAGTACCTACTGAGTAGTAGGCGGTTTCGGACGCAGCCATGGACTTATACAATCCACAATAAAAGCTTGTAATTCCATGTCACATGTAGTTACATATTACATGTGAACTGTATATGTATAAATGAAATATACAAAAACATTTACATTTATAAATATGATCCTGGATATAATTACTATGTAGTAGCAATGTAAATACTATGTAACAACATATAATTTACAATGTAACAACATAGTAATTGAATCCATGATAAAAAGAAGTTTGTCATCACATTGTATATTTACGTATACAACTACAAACAAAAACTGGATGTAACTAATAAGTAATGACAGTAATTATAATGTAACAACAGTAGTTAAAATTTAACGACACAGTAATTACATTCAAGATTAACATATTACATGTGTACTGTGTACATAAGTAAAACTATTATACACAACTATTGTACATAAAATATACAAAGATGCATAAATTATCTTAAGTGTAATTACAATGTTATCATGTAATTACTATGTCATTGCATAATAATTATTATGTTATGCCTTAGTAACAACATCCAAAATAGGTTTGTAGTTACACAAATACTGTACATGAAATTTGCAAAGAAACACTTATAAATAATATATTGGATGTAAATACAATGTAATGACATAGTAATTACAAGGCAATGACACAGTAATTACATCCTGGATTAAAGTTGGAAATTGTACTGTGTGTATATACATATACAACTATAAATAAACAAATATTGTACATGAACAATATTTGGGTTTATAAATATGTGGGTTTATAAATATTATTTTGAAGGTAAAATACAATGTAACAACAATGTAATTACATTGTAATAATAATGTATGGACATTTTAATTACATCGATGATAAAAGTTTATTACATGTGTGCTGTATGTTTTCGTATGCAACTATAAATACTGGAAAAATACTATAAATACTATGTATTGACAGTAATTACATATAACATGTTCTGTCTATATTTTAAATATAATACACAAATACTCTACATGAAGTACACGAAACACATTTAAGTTAATCATGGAACTAGTTACAATGTTATGACTATGTTATTACAATTGCATTATATATTAATTACATATTAATTACATATTTATTATGATTATAACAATCACATCCAAAATAAAATTATATAATTACATATGTACTGTCTATTTATGTAAAAATACACAAATACTGTACATAAAATATACAAAGAAACAAGTATATATATATATATATATATATATATATATATATATATATATATATATATATATATATATATATATATTATCTTAGAGGCAATAACATTGTAATTACCATGTCACTACAATGCAAAATCAATGTAATTACAATGAAATGTCAATCTATTCACAATGTAATTACAATGTAGCAACACAGTGAATACATCCAAGACAAAAGTTTGTAATTAAACATTACATGTGTATTTAAGACTTTGATTTATTTTTATGTAGATAATGATAGCCTACATAAAATCATTTACATTTATTATTAATTATCATGGATGTAGCTACAGCGTAATTACAACGTAATGACATAATAATTACAATGTAAGAACATAGTAATGTAATGACAAAGTAATTACAATGTAAAAACATAATTACATTTTAGCAATCATATATTACGTTTACTGTGTACATTTAAGTATAAAACTACACACTACATAAAAATAAACATTTTTAAATCCTATCTTGTATGTAGTTGCAATGTAATCAAAATGTAATTACTATGTAATGACATGGTAATTACAATGTAATGACAGTAATTACAACCAAAAATAAAAGTTTAATAATTTAATTGAATACATTTAAGTATAAACTAGAAATACACACTGAACAAGAAATATACAAACACATTTCATTTTGTTTATGAAATATACAAAAATATATTTACAATATCTAAGATGTAATTCAAAATAAAAGTTTGTAATTACATGTGTACTGTGTATATTTACATATCAGTACACAAATACTGTACATGAACATACATGTACATAAATATCTTGAAGGCAATTACTGTCGTTACATGTATATTTCATGTACAGTGTGTATTTATAGTTATATACTTAAATATACACAATACACATAGTAAAGTAATAATTACAACCATTTATCTTGGATGTAATTATTGTGTTGTTACATCCAAGATAATATTTCTAAATGTAAATGTTTCTTTGTATATTTCTTGTACTGTATTTTTCTATTTATAATTGTATGCGTAAATATACAAAGCACACATGTAATTAAAAAGTTCTATCTAAGATGTAATTACTGTGTTGTTGCATTGTTATAACAATGTAACAACAATGCATTAACAATATAATAACACTCTTACATTGTAAATACAACATAATAGTGTATTACAATTAAATAACAATGTGACGACACAGTAACTACATCCAAAATGAAAGTTCAGAATTACATATTACATGTGTATTGTGTATATTTAAATATGAAACTATACACAAGGCACATGAAATACACAAACACGTTTATGATCTTGAATGTAATTACAATGTAATGACACATTAATTTTTGTAAAGTTTTGCAATTACATGCGTACTGTGTATATGTATGTTAAATTATAACACATTAATAAATATGATCTGGGATGTAATTACAATGTAACCTTTTAACCTATCACAATTAATCGTTTGACAGCACTAATTTTCCTGTCGGCACCCGCATAGTTATGACGTAACTACAAAGGCCCAATCCCAATTCTACCCCTTAGCCTTTCCCCTAACCCCCACCCCTCATTTTGCACATTGGTAGGGGTGTCCCAATTCTCTTAAGCTTGAACACGTAGGGCTAAGGGGAAGGAGTTTTTCAGGTAAGAAAATTTCCCAAAATACACCAGCCACAATGGCAGGATAGTTACACCTGGAAGTGAGGAGATCCACAAATTACAATTTTTTTGTCATTATTTCGAATTTTTACAACAAACTTGTTTTAATATATTCATAACTGCATAGGTGTTTAACCGTCATGCTTTAAAAAAAAAACAAATAAATAAAATGCTAAAATAAAAACAGCTAAATTTCACGGTCTATAATTAAAACTCCTGTATAGCTGTCCCACAACATTCTGACACTGGAATACTCTGTCAAAAAAGTCTAGTGGCTAGGAATGGGCTTTTTACAGTGTCTGCTATAATGTTAATGTTGTTTTGGGTGTGTTTACATAGATGAATATGGTCACTGTATTAAATGCACAGTATTACAATCTTATTGCCACATTAGATCGTTATGATGACATAATATATGTAATTACAAACTTTTATCTTGCATAATACATATAAAAATACAGATCTGTGCCTCAGCTTTTAAACAAATAAAACACTTAATTTTCTATACAATATCAAATACAACATTTAAAAAAAAAAATCTTGTCAAAGGCAGGAAAAGAGTTATTTACAAGATGTTACATTTGATGTTTAATAGACTTACAAATAAGAACAACCAATGCAATGCAACAACAGATCAACAACCTGATCATTCTGAAAGCTAATCTTGCAACTTTTATGTATTGTTCACAATTCGAACTCATGTTGAACAGTTGTAATTTAATTGTCCTAATTCTTACTGTCACAATCCATTCTGAATTATTTCTCACAACCAAAGTCTCACGATTTTTACTTGATTTCTTACAGTTCTGACAATTCTCATGATTTGAGCAAACAAACAAACAAACAAACAAACAAACAAACAAACAAACAAACAAACAAACAAACCCACAAATGAGTGATCACCACCCTCGGCTCAACTAATACGTGTGAAGTTATATCATGCACTAAGGCCACTGTCAGATACTAAGGTTTCACTACTACGCCTACACTCGCACACAAACAAACTGGGCTGCTCTGCATGTGCTACTTGAGTGGGCGTGTGCGTGTGTGCATGTGTGTGTGTGTGTGTGTGAGTGTGTGTGTGTGTAACATCAGCTCCATCAGACGGGTAGACCACAAATACAGACTCACTAGTAAAACTCTGATGGCCATCATGGCTGCCGCTCCAGTGGACACAGTGCAGTCCATCAGAATCACATGATCCTCGCTGATGTCTTTGGGTAGACGCAAGTAGTGTAACTGAATGAAAATAGAGGACGAGATGGAATGAACATCAATAATATGTTTAAATAAGTGAGACAAAACAATAAATAAATAATTTTTTATTATATATTTTATAAAACAAGACTGTTAAATTTATTTAGGAACTAAATGTAATTGTTTAAATGCTTAGCACTCATTTCTTTACAATAATTTTTGTTCATGTGAAATTAAAATGTGTCAACTTAAAGTGCTGAAAAATATATAGATTTTAACATGTCGGGTGGTAGGAATATTTAATAAAACTATAAATAATTAATAGCTACATTTATAACTATAAATAAAAATACATTTATAAATATTATCTTGAATGTAATTACAATATAATTACATTGTAATTATAACGTAACTACATGATGATAACATCTAAAATAAAAGTTTGTATTTACATATTGCAAACATTTGTACAATGTATATTTACGCATATAACTATAAATACACAACTGTATGTAACAAATGTAACAAATATATACATATTACCTTGATTGTCATTACAAGTACAATATATATATATATATATATATATATATATATATAAATAAATAAAATAAATTAACAATAATGACAAAACATATAAATAAATTAAAGCGTAAAAAACAATTAGAAAACCCAAACCAATAAAAAAAACAATATATCATACTTTAGGTCAGAAAGATGTAAAGGTGACTTACATTAGTAATGTAATTTAATTCTGAAAATGCATTAATTAGGAAAAAATATTAAATGTATATTTATATTATATTTATATTAAATCATAATATAAAAATGTATTTTAACCCACTGACAATCCCAATAACCCAATGGAAAGAAGCTAAATAGATCATGTACGGTGTACAATGACCAAGGTATAATTCTAAACCTGTATAATTCCATAATATTAGAATGACACCAAAATGAATAATTCTAATAAACATGTAAAAATCGTACTATCGACACTAAATACTGCATCAGAGAAAAGTTTCACATTTAGAACTCAGAAATACTATGCTCCTTCGATTAAAACTGAGATTAAAAAATTAAAACAGAAAGGGGCGTTACCTCAGGCTCTCCTGTGTCCTGATTGGTCTGGATGAGGATTTTGCCAATGCGGACGTCTTTGCACACGGCTCTAAGCGCAGGCTCCATGGTTTCTCCCGCCCTTAGAATCGACACGCCCGTAATCTGTTAAAAAAAAAGAAAAAACAGAAAGTGAGGGTGGCATTTGCTTTTAAGGCCTTTACTCTTGTACACAACATACATTAAAGAGATTTCCCGAAACAAGCTGATTCATCATGCTGAACTGCTATGAGAGGTCACCCTAAAAGAGATTTTTCAATGCATCTAGGTGGCATGTTGTTTTCTTACCCTCTTTCCATGAAAGATTCTGCCCTCATAATCCTCTCCTTGTGGGGTCTGAACAATGTGGACCTGCAGCAGAAAACACAAATTGTACCATCTCGTTTTTTTTTTTTTTTTTTTTTTTTTTTGACCAAGCCCATCAAATGCAGCTAAACTGATCTTCCTCTCTGATTAGAAGCCACAGTAAAATGTCAGTGATGCTCTCTGGTTCTTCTGTGAGGTTGTAAGTGGAAAGGTTGCTGCTGCTGTTGGTTGCTAAGCTGATGTCTTGCATGTTGTGCTTGTTAGTCTGAATGGAAATTGCGGTGGACAAGTGAGACAAGTTTCCATGTTCAAGACGAATCGTCCATTGCCCACACTCACAAATCCGCTGGCGTGTCGAACCGAAAATTCCCCATCAATCCTTTGGTTTATAACGGTTTTCTCACCTGAGATGGAAGGAAGGACAGCGCTCTCTCGATGAGGAGCCGCATTAACCTCTTGGAGTAGAAGATGAACTCGTCTCGATTGGTGTCTTTATTTCTGAAACACAAGCAGTCGTGGTCAAAAATGTGATTTTCGTTAAGGTCAGCTAGGCAAGATTATGCAGTAAGGTTTGCTTGTTTAACTATAAAAACTGTAGTTCTTTTATGTGATAGCTTGGCTTAACCACAAAGTGTTTGCGGCGTGGATGAAAGCTGAAAACCAAAGCAAACAAACAAAAAAAGCTTTCAAAATGAGTTCACTGCAGCCACTGGCTTATGCTATTGGAAATTTGGTAGCTGGTTAAAGATAGCAGATGTGCAGCTTACATATAATAATGGGTCACAGAGGGCTAAGGGCTAAAAAAATAGGGGAGGGGAAAGGATTGAGTAATTGTTATTGAAAAGAGAGCAACTTGTAATTAAAAGTGACGTAAAAAAGGGTTTACATATGTAAATCAAATTGACGTAAAACCCAATTGATATGTTCTTGATTGAAAGCCAAAGACTTGGCTACTATGAACCGCCTTCATGTGTGAGATTAAATTTCAGTTTTAACTCAATTATTCATTCATTCATTTTCTTGTCGGCTTAGTCCCTTTATTAATCTGGGGTCGCCACAGCGGAATGAACCGCCAACTTATCCAGCAAGATTTTACGCAGCGGATGCCCTTCCAGTCGCAACCCATCTCTGGGAAACATCCACACATACACAAACACACACACACACACACACACACACACACACACACACACACACACACACACTCATACAATACGGACAATTTAGCCTACCCAATTCACCTGTACCGCATGTCTTTGGACTGTGGGGGAAACCGGACCACCCGGAGAAAACCCACGCGAACGCAGGGAGAACATGCAAACTCCACACAGAAACACCAACTGAGCCGAGGATCGAACCAGCGACCTTCTTGCTGTGAGGCGAACGTGCTACCCACTGCATCGCCCTTAACCCAATTATAAATGACAAAATGTCCAAACTGAATTTAAAAATTATGTTACAGCCAATCAATTCTTGATCTCAATTCGGTGTACTCTCCAGAACACTTTTTTTCTCCATATTTTTGGTCTTTAACTGCATTGATTTATTGCATTCCTGCTCTGGATTCTCATACTGTATACTCTCTGGCCATGGTGGGCTTTTTTTCTCTGTCCCGTGCTGAACACAGTCAACCAATCACAACAGACTGGGTCATTAGGCCAATCACCGCAGATTAGCTTCGCGCTATGGAGGGGTTTGGGAACAAATGAATCACTGAACGAATCATATGGGAGTCGATAGGATATTTAGATAAAAATAAACGGATAATATAAGACAATAGCTATGTTTCCATTCAAAAATGCGGATGAACTTTATGTGCAAAACTAGATTATTGCATAAAAAACATGCAAATTAATCTAGCGAGTCAAAGTGAACAAAATCGTCACAACCTGATTAACTGGCGCCAAATATCAACAGTAAAAACTGAATTTGCTGCAGTAGGAGAAGCCGCGTCAATCTTTTCTCCATCTAATAAGGACTTGCGCCTCAGAAGGAAATCCAGACATGCAGTGAACGCACCGTGCGTTTGAAGGTGTCAGACGCGGAGCACAGATGCTCTTGATTCTGGAGGTCGTTAATAATATAATAACACTAATACTTGAACAGTAACGTGTTTTAGAATGACCTCAACAACATTTCAGATGTTTTACAGTGTGCTTAGCCTGCTGGTTTGTCTATTTACACACATTTTCATCATCACACGATCTCTTATCACAAAATCACATGACCTTTTTTTTAATGCGCATACTGAAATTTGTGCGGTAAAAGTGTTTCCATCGTAGTTTATGTGCATCTTTTCTTATAGGATAAAAAATGTATCCAACTAAATTATGCGCATAAGTTTTTAAATGGCATTTTCACAATTTATGCGCGTCAATGCGTTTCCATCAACCAATTTTTTTATGCACAAAATGCGCATAAAAATAGGTGGATGGAAACATAGCTAATGGAAGGGTTTTTTGATCTTGCATGCATATCAGTCTCTTGTTGGATAACCCTATTAGTAGCTCTTTTAAATGTATTCAATAGTAAATATTACAATGTGAAGGTGTGTGCATGCATGTGTGAAAAATTAACATTAGGGAATTTGGTGATTTCAGTCATCATAGTCAACATCATCTAAACAGTCTCTCGGTCATTTGATGTGATGGTTTCGTGTCTTCTTGGACACTTACAATGCTTGTACACTGTATTTATAAAGCGGTGTATTGAGTTTGTTTGGTATGATGTGATTTTTGTGATTTTTCAATCATGTGTTATTTTGATTGGATGGAAATTACAGGACTGATTATTCTACATACAGTTGAAGTCAGGGTCCCACTTTATATTAAGTGTCCTTAACTACTATGTACTTACATCAAAAAATAAATACAATGTACTTACTGTGTTTATAATGTATTTGAGAACACTTGTGGTGCATTTGAGTTGGGATAGAGGTTGGGTTATCGACAGGTTTGGTGGCATGGGTAGGTTTAAGGGTGGTTTAAGGTGTAAGGGATGGTCAACAGTGTATTTACAAATGTAATTACAAAAGTTAATTACAGCTGTAATTACATACATGCATTTAATCAAGCATAAGTACACAGTAAATACATGTATTTACACAATAAGTACATTGTAACAAACTATTAATTCCTGTGTAAGTACATATTAGTTAAGGCCACTTAATATAAAGTGGGACCGAAGTCAGAATTATTAGCCCCCCTGAATTATTAGCCCCCCTGTTTATTTTCCCCAATTTCTGTTTAACGGAAAGAAGATTTTTTTCAACACATTTCTAAATATGATAGATTCTCATTTATAATAACTGATTTATTTTATCTTTGCCATGATGACAGTAAATAATAATTTACAAGATATTTTTCAAAATACTTCAAAACAGCTTAAAGTGACATTTTGTGACATACTGTGAAAATTTCCTTGCTCTGTTAAACATAATTCGGGAAATATTTTAAAAAAAAAGAAATTCTGGTTAAAACTGTAAGCAAAACATAATGTAGTGACCGCAAGTTGAATTCCTGAGCAAAACTACTCAATTACAGTGATTTAAGTATTTGTAATTTTATAAATAAATGTGTATTGTGCATGTCTGACCTGATGATGGTGTGCATGCCGCGGACCTGCGGTGTGCTTTCCAGAACACTCAGAGTCTGTGGTAGCGGCTGTGCCTGATGAGCAGATGCCAGCGCCGCCCTGATAACAACATCATCACCCGCAACACACACAAACACACAGGACATTAGCTATACACTGCCATTCATGTGTTCATTCACACACCACAAACACATGCTCATATAACATGAATGTCATGTTAGAGGAGAGCGAGCAAGAAGCAAGGATTTAGAAGTGTAAAAGAGAGATTTATAAAACAGAACCAAAGGACAACCTCCAAAATGAAAACGCTGACCTGTTCATGAGCTTTAGTTTAGTCATAAGCTTTGAAAAGTCAAAATAAGTATTTAATTAAATATTAATCACTTTATATTTTATTTTCAAGAGTTCACACTTAGCTGATGATTGACTATAAGCAAGATTGGCATGCTGTCCTGAGAGAAGGGCTCCAAATAGGCTCAAGAGGTTCTTGAGCCCCGGGCTCCCTCCCGTTTGCAGGGCGAGAAGGGAGCTCTGAGCTCAGGTAGGTCTCGAGTACTCCCCCTTTTTTGATAAGAGCTGATGACAGAAAATGTTTGCTATGAAGAGATGCTGGATGAGAGTTTGACTGTAGAGCTTAATTTAGATTGATCAATTCACTTATGGTGCATGCTTTTGGAGTGTGGAAGGAAACCGGAGAACCGAAAACATATAAATATAACATATGCAATATTAGATTTTTCCAATATCATGCAGCCCCTAATATATATATATATATATATATATATATATTTTTTTTTTTTTTTTTTTTTATTCATTACTTTTAAAAATTCTTGCGGCCTAAATTTTTTTAGTTGATTCAAATGAACTTTTCTCATCATCTCAACTCAGATCAAACTGCTTAAAACTATTATGTTAGACTAAAAATATACAGTTGAAACTTGACTAATGGATTAAAATAATTTAAAGTAACAAAACATTTGTTGTTGTGAGCTCTTTTGTTAACTATATTTATGAAAAAACTGAATCAGCACAATGTTTTTCATCAACACTGATGATCAGATTTCAGATGACTTATTTATTGTAATAAATTTTTCTCGAGCAGATATTTTTTTTTAAACATCAAATGATAATTCAGCTTTAACACCATATAAATAAATAACATTTTAAAAGAAATGAAGACTATGTTAATACAATAAAAACAAAATTAAAACATTACTATTCGTAGTAATTATGTTGAATTTTGGTGGTATTTTTGATCTAATAAATGCACTTTGGGGAGCGTAACGTCTTTCAAAAATGAAGCCACTTTTACATGCTCTTACGAATTGGATTTGTTCATATCAACTGTTAAAACGCTTAATGGACTCTGTGCAGGTCAGGGTTTATTTGGAGGATCCCATGATTTAATTCCACAAGCAATTGTCAAATCAAAGACTGCATATCCTGTCAACAAACATAACACAGCTTTCAGTGTAAACCCATGCAGAACGCTTTTGTATATCCAAATCAACTGCTTCATTAAACACACTAATATGACAATATGCAGTCTTTGCGTAACACAGCATGATTCTGTTTGTGTTCTACTTTAGGTTTGTAATGCAACAGCAAAAACATAAAACAAATCATAGGCAAATCTCCTCACATATCCCAGCGGAGCTTTCTCTGTGGAGGAAGAGACACACGACAGAAAACAAAACACAGACAATGACAACAGGAAGAGAGGGAAAAGAAAAGAGACGTCACAAACTGTCAGGTGGAGGATGAGCTGATCATGTGACTGAGTGGAACAAGAGTTTGACAGCTGCAAACACACACACAACACTATTCAGTGTACAATGAGCTCAGATGAAGAGTTCACTCAAAAATGTACCGGCATCTTCTAACCACTCCCCAAAAAAACCCTACCTAAAAATTGTGTGATATAAGTGCTTTTTTGCATAGGTATCTGATGGAAAATGAAAAATATCTCACCCTTTATTCGTCACTTGTGCCAAATCTCTTTTGCTTTCTTTTACAAAAGATAGCTTAAACACAAAAGATAGTTTGAAGAATGCTTGCTAACAAAAAAATAAAATAAAAATCTTTCTCTAAAAAAAACCTCTAAAACCCATTGGATATTTTCTTCTAAAATTAGCATTTTTCACCAACTCTTGTGTGTTGGCTCAGTATTTTACATTTATAGTGACGGACATGTTCTTTTCATTGCCTTTTAAGTGACATAACTGAACATAAACATAGGAGGTTGTGAAAATTTCTCATTTTAGGAGAAAATTTCAGATGGCATTTACATGTTTTTGCATCTTTTGCAGAGGTTTTGTCATTTTTCTATGATGCATTTTAACTAACTTTTTAACTCCTAAAATGATGTGAATTGAATCGACGTGCAAATGAATCGAGTGAACTCAAAATGATATATCGTGATTGCGCAACAAAACTTTGCGAAACACCCACAATAAAAAAAAAAACAAACAAACAGGAAATTGCGAAGGAGTGGGATGATGGAATCTGCCGTTTCAGAAGCATTGATAAACTAATTAATATCAAAGAAAAACAACACGTCGATACTATCGGAATATATTATATCTTTATTTCAAAGTCACAGACACCAAACAAAACCAGGGGCCTCATGTACGAAGACTTGCGTTGGAATCATAGTAAAACATTGCGTACGCACAAAGCTGTAAATGTGCGTACGCAGTAAAAAAATTCAGATATATGAAAGACTGCGTACGCCGAATCACACGCATATTCTCTTTGTACATCCCAATGAACGCGAAACTGAGCGCAACATGCACGAGCAGTCCCTGCCTCCTCCCCCATATGAATATGCTAATGACTCTACTTTGGCAAAACCCAATTAAAAAGCAATGGCAAAAGCGAGTAAAAAGAGAAACTTTGAACAGAATGTGAATTAGAGGTGCTGCTTTCGGAGGTAGGCTCGAGAAAAATGGTGTTATTTACAAGTTTGTCCTCCAGAATTAATAACAAAAGAAAAAAAATTGAGTGGGAGGATTTAGCTAATGTGGTTAACACAGTTGGGTCTGAACATCGCACTCAGTGGATTAAAAAAAGAAATAGAGCGTCAACACTTCCCATTCACTTTGAATGGGTGCTGTCAAGCGTTTCCAAACTGCATTGCGGATCTGTCGGCGCCACTTCAGAGGCGTTGCTCACTGCAGAAGTTGGGACTAGCTCAACTTTTCAAGCGCCGATGGAAGCGTCAGTCAATCAGATCGCTGTATGTAAATACACCAGCTAGACAGTGGCCTATTGCTGACTACATTTCATTGGCTGACGCTGCTATGACGATCGCGTCAGCCCCAACTTCAGTCACGCCTTTAGTCAAGCATTGACGCTGAAGCCCTGTATGAATGGGGCGTGAGTGGTGTAGCTCTTAAAGCGCATAGCAACATGTTTTGACACGTTCGACCATGAACTCGGTTCAAATCCAGCGATTGACGAACTCATTCTTCTTATTTTCCCCCGCTACATATCAGATTCTGCCTACTCTTCATCACAAGGAAGACAGGTAGGAATCAATAATAACTGTGTGCATCATATTTTATTTGCTCATTTATTGAATGGAAATATTTCTGATTAACGTATACAAATTCATCTTTAGATGGCGCCTTTATAGCAATGTGTGTGCAGTAAATTGCTCCAATTACACTGGGAAAAGCGGTGATTCCTGCAAGTTGAGCTTTAATTTTAATGGCTGGTCAACTGTATGGTATGGAAATCATATATACCTGCTAGACATGCGGATGAATCCGTTTCATACAACTGCCATTTCAAGGCTCAAAGATGCTTTGTTGTGTGCAATTTAACACAATTGCCTCTAGGAGTCGCCAATAGAAAAAAAATAAACGCACACAAGAAATGCACCAACGCCAGGCATGAAGTTGGCGTGGAAAAGGGCACTTTCCCACATTTATTTCATCGTTAGTAAATCCAAAAGTGAGCGTGAAACCTGGCGTACGCAAAGTTTTTATGAGTACGCAGCGTTGACACATGAGGCCCCATGTCATTTGTAAGAGCTGTCGCAGAATTGTTGCCACAGCACAAGGAAATGCAACAACCAGCATCTAAAAAAGAACCACAGGCCGAGGAGCGTCTTGCTAAAAGTATTGGCAGTGACACTCAATCTAGTAGCAAGCAAAGTAAAATTTCAGAGTTGTTTGCTAATATAACTTGATATATTTTCAGTTCCACTCACTTCATTTTAGCAGTAAGAAGCTACAATATCGATTATTGAGCTAAAGGTTGACTATGAAATTAAATCGCAAATAAAATCAAAATCTCAATGTCTAAAAAATTGCAATTAGATAATTCCCCAAATCACAAAGCTCTAATACAGATTCTTGAAAGTTTAAAGCAGTTTTTTTTTTATAAGTTAATAAACTTATAAGCTAAAAACTAACTTGCGTTACATTTTCAAAAAAACAACTAAAATATTATTACTTACTTTAAAATTAAGGGTTACTTTACTCGCTACCTGGAAAAGTATTATATAGAATAGTATTTTATATTACATAACTCACGTTCCTTGTAATGCGTTACCCCCAACGCTGATGTAATGATGTAACCAATCAATAGAAGTCTGATATTTTCTTAAAGGTACAGTTAACACTAAAAATCTAAAATATTAAACTAATTTGAGGACTTAATTTTGTAAAAATATTTAAGCGCTCAAATACTTCATTTAAATACCCTGAACCTTAAGCTAAATTAATAAATAAAATTTAAAAAATGGACATCGATCACAAACACACATGCATTTTATACTGTAAAACACTTATATATGTAGTAATATATTTTATACATTATATGGCCTACCCGTAACCCTAACCAAAACCCTCATAGGAAACTTGTGACAAAATTTGAATGTCAATAGACCCTGTTGATTTTAAGCGTTTGAATTACAGGAACACAAAGAATGTATTTGTAAACCAGCTTAACACAGTACAGCTGGTCCACTAATACATCATGGCATATAAAATTATGTCACTTTACATACGTAATGTATTTTATACTGTAAAACACTTTTTATATGGCCAATACGTAACCCTAACCAAAACCCTCATATGGAAACCTGTGGTCAAGTCAAAAGACCCCAATCAATCTGAATTTAAATATTTTGAATTACGGGAACAAAAGGAATGTACTCGTTAAGCACCTAAATACAGTACATCTCGGTCATACCTATGTTATTATACAATCCCTTGTGCCTGTAAACCGCATAAGTACACACACACACACACACTCACCTCTCTCTCACACACCAAAACGTTCTGTGATATGAACTTTTTGTGGGAAGTTAATGCAAATTCTTATGTTCATGCACATTCAGATGTGTTCACATTATGCTGTTTGCTATCAGTGACAAAGATAATGGAAACAATGATGTTGCTGATGTTTTCTTAAAGGTGTATTCACCCAAAAAGGACAATTATATCATCATGGAAAACAAAAATAGCATTATATCCTGACTTGCTCTTGTAAGAAACAAAAAGTGCACCAAACATGTAATATTATGTAAGTAACGGAATTAAAGATGTCTGATGTCACTGATCTTAAAGGTACAGTTCACCTCAAAATAAAAACTCTGTCATCATGGAACACAAATGTAGAAGAACATCCTGCCTGCTTCTATCTACAAAAAAACCCATCATCACACAAACGTTGTAATGTCTTACAAAAGCTTTTTGTGGTGACTGATGGAAACTTAAGTCTTACATGTGCATCCAAATACAGCTGTGGAAAAATATTAAGAGACCACTTCAATAGTATTGACCACTTCACACATAGTTCAATATAGGGCAACATAAAATAGTCCCTGTTTTCAGACCTTAAATATTTAAAAAAATGCAATAATATTTCACTATATTTGTTTGTTGGTCTGATAATGTATGTCTATATGTGTATAGTTCAACGCATAAAAGAAATTCATATGGTTTGCTTTAATGTAGTCTTTATATACTTTTTTGGTGGAATGAACGTTCAACTAAGGGCCACAAAATCTCTTAGGTTTTATTTTAAAAAAGTTCTTGAAGTAAATAAAGTCATTTATACAAAAGGTTTGAAACGAGACGTGGCAAGGTAAATGTCATTAATCATATTTGAATTTAGACAGCTGTGAGGGAAAAATTTGATCACTTGAGCATTCTCCTTTTCTTTTGATGAACTGTTTAAATTTTTGTATTTGAGTATTACACCGTTTCAGGTTTAATCTGTAAACTACTAATGATATTTCTTTTTAATTTAAAATAAAACCTCTGTAATTTGGTACCATGTGTTAGACATGTTTCTATTCAATTATAAACAACGCAATACCAACGTTTTAATATTGTTAATAAGAAATCAAAATTGATTGAATAATACAGATTTCTTTAACATATCACTTACTTTAACCAAAAATCACTATCTTTGATAAAAATGTGTGAGAAAAACCCTCTTCATTAGTCCTTTATAAAAAGAAGTAATATGTAAAGTGTATTTTTTAAAATTATTGTTATTATTTTTAAATATTTTACTTAAACCCATACCTACACTCGAAAAAGATTTTCTCTTATTATTCAAACTATACTGCAAAAAGCAACTACTTAAAAAAGTGAGTAAACCCATTGCTTTAAAAAGTTGATTTTACTTTAAAAAAATGTAAG